AGATATTTGAAGAGTAAGAAGGGTGCTGAACTCAAGGATCACTGGGGCAAGGATACAGATCCTGCAACATGTGTTCATTTTCCTTTACCTTCTCCAATTCTGGTTTAGATTTTTAGGTTTGTGCTCTCATTCTCGCCCAGGGGGAAGGGGTCCTTGTTTATAAACACTACTTTCGAGAAGGCTCAAAGATCATGAGCCACCTTCAGAATACTTGGAGACCTTTTTCATTTCTTCTACAACTTCCATCATAAATGAGTCTTGTTTGCTCCTGATCCTTGGTTTGCTTTGTGTAACTCCTGCTAGAGCACTGGAGAAAAGACTAGGGAGCCTTAGCTGGGCTTGCCAGGCTGCAGAAAGCTCTTGGAGGTTGAAAGGGAGAACTGAGGCCTATCAGCAGTCGTTACTATCATGACCATTATTTTGCATTTTTATTATTAATCTATTTTAAATGGATTAAGCAAACACTAGCTGAGGCTCCAGCCACCTGTATACAAAACAAACACTAAGGGAAGGATAAAGTTGTAATGAAAAGGGCTAAGGTTCCTCCCAGGAACTTGGTTCCCTCTCTGTTCACCACTAAGCTAAAATGCCTTTGATGCCATTTATTCTGGAGCTAGTGGATATTTCTAAAGCATCTTGTAAGAGTACAGGCCTCATTTTCCCCCATTCTCTGAGGAAGATGCTTTTAAAGCTACTATGTATTGCCCTGGCTGGTGTGGCTCAGTTGGTTGGGGCATCATCCCATAGTCATGGATTCTATTCCCAGTCAGGGCACACACTCTCTCTTCCTTCCTCTCTCTAAAATCAATAAACATATCCTTGGGTGAGGATTTTAACAACAACAACAACAACAAAAAAGATACCATGTATTAAATGACTAGTGTGTGCCAAGCACTTGACGTATACTATCTCATTTAATTCTCACCATACCTCAGTTTGCAGATGAAGAAATGGGGCTTGGGAAATTTGTTACCAAAGCAATATTCTACATTTACTAAGTGACTGAGGAGAAATGGGTACCCACTTTCATCAGGCTGAATCTCCTGTACTTTCTGACATACCAGGATTCTTCCATCCCTGCTAGTTCTGTCAATCTTCCAGGTTCTTTCTGGGCCATGCAGTTCTCCTTTGGCAGACTAGGAACTAACAGGGAAACAATTTATTGCCCTACTTGATGCCAAGATATCAATGTCAGGGACACCTCTGGCAGAGACACAGAAGCAGTAATTAATATTTCTGCCTAAGGCTGAGACTAGGGTAAGAGAGGATGAGTGAGAGGGATAGAGCCCGTTTTTTGTGGGTTTTTTTTAAATCTGTAATTGTCATGGATTCTCCAATACCCAGGTTGGGAGTGGGAGGAGAGAGAATATCTGGTGTTTCTGTTTATTAGGAATTTATATTAAGCCCTTTAACTTCCTTTAGGGTCAATGAAAAACAGGAGTGGGGGTGGGAGTGGCTCAGTACTTGGAGATAGGGCAGATGGGGCAGAAGTAAGGGATGTTTCTGTGTCGCCCCTTGCCTGCCTCTTAGTCTACAAGGCCATGGTGGAGCCAGGAGCCCAATCTAGGGCTGTGATGGTTCAAGCTCTTCCGGGAGAGCCTGAACGCAGCCGGGGTGAAGGATTCTCTTCAGAACGAAGGACAGCTCCTGCCTCGGCTTTGGCCTTGGGCGGGAACCCCCGGGTTTCGCAGCCTCAGCCCGGAAACAGGCTGCTTCCAACGCGGAGGACGCCCGGGTCAGATGTGGGTTCGCTTCAACCCATCGTGAAAGGCTGCAGCTGGGAACCTCCATCCTCGCTGTCACGCCAGCTGCGTGCGCCTGCACCGAGGCGTCGCCTCTCCAGTTCCGAGGGGGGCAGCTCGGTTTGTGGTTTTCCTTTGGGTCCGGTGTCTAGGCTCCTTTACCTGTCCCTGGCCTGGGTGAACCGCAGCCGCCGGGAACAGAGATGAGAGTGGAAATGCTCTCCTCCGCATGGTGATAGATCATGCAAACGGGTGACACCAGTTTAACCAATAAAACAATTTGAATCAATTAGCCGGCTGAGGAGAGTCCCGACGTGTAAAATGCATGTCAGCTCGAATAGGAAAGCATTGATTAACTCGGCCTGGACCCGCCGCCTCCGCCACCGCCACCGCCACCGCCGGCTCCTGCTGAGCCTGCTGGGGTCTCCGGGCAGGACGGGGACTGACACGGATCAGAAGCCACTGGCCCGGGAGAGGACCATGGAAGGGCGGTGGAGAGCCATCCGGAGACTTGTGCAAACTGAGGAGAAAGCAAAGGGTCAAAGAGCTGGTGGGTGACAGAAAGTTGCTCACGGACTCCAACGCATAAAAAGGCTGTAATCCTGCAGTCCGGCTCCAGCAGTCAAGGGAAGGCTTCTCTGGAGCACGGAGTCTGGGTTTGAAAAGCTGTTCTCCACCCTCATCTTCCAAAAATATAATTGGTCCGACAGCTCTAACAGGCACCCAGACTCCTGGGGAAATACACTGCTGTGCTATTCTTAGGATTATTTGTGCAAATGTACTTGCTCTAGCATCACACATTTCTCTTTCCAGTGAAACTTTTTGCATTAAAATAAAGTCACAGGTTTGTATGGCACCAAGACCCCCAACGTAGTGTATAAATGTTGATGTTTAAAGATCAGATAAGTAGATGGCTACAGGTGTGGATTCACTCCCAGGAGTAACCTGAGATGAGAGGGAAGGCAAAGATTGGTTCTGTTTCTCTTTTCAAGGAAAGATGTTTTTAAGACACTTAACAAGAAAGGATCTTTAAGGGGAAGAGAGGCTTTGGGGGGGGGCAAAGATGAAAACGTGGAGATGAAAAGTGAAGACCCCTGGCTGCTTCCTCCTCAGCAGTGACCGGGCACTTCCCTGTGGTACATGAATGAACTGATGGGACTTTTCATTTCATCCCATTTTCAGTGTTAAAATCAACCCCATCTCCAGGCTCTCTTGCCGCGAGGCTCGGGCTTTCCTTCTAGCAGCCTGGGCTCTAGGAGCCGTGAGTAGGCTGGGACCTCGCTTTGTGGGAGCCCCAACCCAAGGAGGAGTTGGGGAAGGTGGGAAGAACTAGGCCTGGCCCTCTGAGGAAAGGGATTTGTGAATGACAATGCCATTCTTCTGGAAAATGGGCTGGGCGGGCAAAATGCTTAAGTTTTCCTTCTTCCTTTATTTTTATTTTTATTTTTATTTTTGAATGGGAGGCTCAGAGGGCACTGGGGAGGGAGCACTGGTTGACTTCAGCCCCTTAACACAGAGCCTATTTTGTGTCAGGAACGCCTTTAGAAACTAGGAGATGGATGGAAAAATCGTCTCACTGCCATTTGAAACTTATGTCCAAACAAACACTATAATTCTCATGGCTCTGAAACTGGTTTGGGCATATTCATTTAAAACAGCCACAAATCCTGTATCCCTCGCTTTTCTGTTTGCTTGGCTCTCCTTGGTTTCATTGACCTTTTATGAAGCGTTAAGGTTTCACGTCTTCACTTTCTATATGGTGATGTAGTGATGGCGTGTTGTTGATGCTATGATGGAGTCTGGTTGGGTTTCCAGGTTAGTGGAGATTGTACATCATTTCGAAGATGTGCCTGCCAGACTCTAAGCCTGTGTGTGTCAACAGGCAGCAATAGAAAACGCAGCTGTAATTGTAAAGGGAAAACTTAAAGGATCCCCCAATCCCACTCCCCTGCATTTTGACTCCTAACAGCTGATCAATTAGCAGGCACTATACTGACTCTTCACTATATCCTAGGATGTGCCTCACTTGGGGAAAGCTGTGGGAAATGGTTCTTTCTCATCCTACATGTCTTTATTTTGGTGTGGGGGTTTTTTTATGCATGCTCCTACATAGTTAGTTCCCTGAGAAATTTACTTTTCCCAGGGGACCTAGCAACTTGCTTAAGGGCTGGTCAGGATTGGAGGCCTCGGGCTTTGCTGTCTCACCATTTCCCTGTGCTGAGGTGGCCTGCATGGGTCTTATAACGTGGGTTAGAGAACCACTCTGGATCAGGCTGATAGATGTGAGCACATGGGCACTCATTGGGAGCCTCGCTTGATCATACACTTTCTAAGGTAGAGAATGCCTTGCTGATTCTCTGTATCTTGTCCTAAAAAGCAACCCTCTATTCGAGAGTAAGGTCACTCTCCATGCTTCCTTCCAAGTTTTTAGACTGGGCACCCTATTTGGAACTTCCTCTCTCTCTCTCTCTCTCTCTCTCTCTCTCTCTCTCTGTTTGGAACTTCCTTTCTCTCTCTCTCTCTCTCTCTCTCTCTCTCTCTCTCTCATTTCACAGCGTTTCAAACGAGGGGCTGAAGCTGTTCTATTCCCTGCCTGACTGTAGTTTCTATTTCTTCGGAGACAAAGTGAGGCTGCTCTTCTGCACTGTGTACCAGGAGGATCATTCCTGAAGGAGAGTGACTCCGAGACTTGAGGGGAGGGAACAATAACAGGCAGGGGTGCAGTCACTTTAGAGGCGCCCTTTAGAATCGGAGGTCTCCAGGATCCACTCCCCCGATGCACGCAGACTATTCGGCTTTCCATTCCTAGATCAGATCCGTGGCTCCGGCACCGTGGCTGCGTTTTGCTGCGGGGCTGGGAGGTGGTTGTCAATGGAGGGTTGGTTAGGTGTTAGCTTGCATGCCTGCCCCGAAAGGATCTAGATGTGACTCGCTCTCGCCTGCGCTTCCCGCTCCCTCCCTCCCTGTAACACGCCAGCCGTGCACAGTCGAGTGTCAGGGAGACGGTGACGTCACCTTGCCCGCTGGGTGGCGTCCCCTCCGTCCGACACGAGTTCCAAGACAGAGAAAGGCGCTGTCAGACTGCGCTCCACCTGCGCTCGCCTGCCGCGGGGTCCGCGCGCCCACACTGTCTGCGGCCAAGGGGACGCCCCGCCGCAATTCGGGCTGTCATTCTCCCCTGACGGGAGTTCGGGTTCGAGCGCCATTGAGCGCCAACGAGCTCCAGGATCTTCGCGCGGAGCCCTCCCGAGTCCCGCCCTCTGGATTCGAGGACCCGCTTGGATGCTTCCCTTCCGAGCGCCCTCGGAAGATGGACCGTCAGCCACGCGCATAAAGACATCGAGGGGTCACCAGGTACTGCGGGACCCCGCCGGCCCGGGCTCGGCACGCACGCGATTCGCTATCTGAGATCCCCAGCGGGGGATTCTCCGGGTTAGGAAAGGGGCGGCGGTGGGTTTCGGCGGCGAGATCGGTTGGGGAGCCGGGGGAGTTAAGTTGGGGTCGTTGGCTCATGAGTAGGACAAGGAAGTTCTCCAGCTTCCGTTTTCAGTTCAACTAACTTTTAATGGTCTCTTCTCCCCTCGCTCTCTGTTTTAGAAACCCCTTCCCAAGCCCTCTTATTTGTGTCTCCGCCGTGACGGGAGTTTCTGGGAGGGCTTGGGGGAGAAGGGGAGACACTTCTGCTCAGGCTGCGGCTGCTAAGGCTGCGTGCGGGTTTGTAACGCAAAACCAGCTCTTCGGCAGGGCCAGGCCCGCAGCGCTCCATTGCCCCAAAGCGAGCGTTCCGTCATCCCAGGGCCTTGTTAAGATAAAAAAATCTTGTTTTGGGGGTGGGGGTGGGGGTTAGGAGGAGGGAAAGAGCGCTAAAGGACCATTTGTGGAAGCTAGAGCTGGCTGACAGGCCCAGGTATCACCATGCCTTGAATTGCCATTTAACGCCCTGTCCCCTAGAAATTGTCTCTGGTCTCTTCTGAGTGACAAGCCAGGCTCTCTCTCAATCGGTTTTATCGGGTTGAGGTTTGTTCAACCTTCCTGGAGGCCACAAAAGGTAATGAGAGCTGAGGATCCAGAGGGCAGAAGGGCAAAGGCGTGGGGATAGGTGTCTCAGGGGCGGAGAGAGGGCAAGAATATGACAGTTTGGGTGAAGGAGTAAGATGGTGTGTCCTCTGAAGTCGCTGTAATAACAGACTCCAGTGTACTTGTCCGTGTGTGGCCATGCTACTGTCTCAGTGACTTTCCAGGGCAAAAGGGAGTCGTGGCCGCTGCGCCCCATGTGAAGTGTGGCTGTAGATAGGTCACTGTCCTCTTTCCTAGGGAATGAGCCACTTTCCTGGTTTTGACTTATCTGCCTTGTCACCAAGGTTTCTTTCCCTTGCTTTTTCTCTTATCTTCAATTATCTGGACATTTTCCCTCATTACGGTATCCCAGAGAGAATGGGAATTTTACCGCAGGCCCAACCCAGAGCTTCCGCTTTCAAGGCTCCCACCGATTACCTGGTCCACAGATGATCTATACTGTGGAACACATCCGCCTGAAAGGTATGGGGGGAGCTATACAGACCAGAAAAAAACTGTCACAGAAAACGGTTCACCTTACACCTAAATTTGCCGTTGAAGCCCAACAATAATGATCCCCCCAAATTGTTAGCCTCTTTGCACTGTTTCTGGACTTAACACACTCACCCGTGCTTATTTGTTCATCGTAATAGAAATGACAGGAAAACGGTTTTTAAATGTTTACTAGTCGACAACTTCATCTTTTTAAGCTGCCTATCGAACCAGAACCGCTCAGTTCAGAAAGTGGCTTTTTGAAAAATTGAAAGTGCAACGCCCTATTTTGGTGCAACCATGCACATGGCTTTGTACATTTTTCCCATCTTTCAAAAAAAAAGTCTAATTACAGTACGAAAATATATAATGGCAAGGGTGAGGGGTGAGGGGTTTCATTTTGCCTTAATGAGCTGTGTCTCAACCAGGAGTGAATTTCTCCCAAGGAAACCACAGATACCACAAAATCACTTTTTAAAAGGTTTGGGTTTATTTTTTAAAAAACCAAAATCGATTTGCAGGCAAATGTTCTCTTTTTAAATTTGGGCTTCAATGGCCAAGCTCCAGTTTTCCATAACTTTTGTAATCTGCACTAGTTATAACTGTCATCCGTATTTCTAGCAGGCATGCCACTTATTCTAACAGCTTCTATAAATAAGGGGATAAGAGGTAATGTCTTTGGTTTCTTAGGAATTGACTGCTTTTTAAAGAAAACACATAGCTAATTTACTTCGGATGATTGGAACAGAGATTAAAAAAAAAATCCTTCCAATCCACCATTTCAGAAGGGCGACCTTGAAGAAAATTGAGAGATTACTTCCTTATGTCTGAAACTTGGTCCCTCGGCCCCTTGATAATCATGTCTTATCTAAGCAAGGACATTGTTACAATTCTTCCGGTAGGAACTCAACCCACCCCTCTGTTTATTTTAGACAGAAAGGATTCTGATCGGCGCTTTCTCCTTTCCCTTCCAGTCTCCAAGGCAGACCCGGAGGGCTGGGCCCGGGCTTCCGCGGAGGAGGAGATGGCTTCCAGCCCGCTGCCGGGGCCCAGCGACATCCTGCTGGCCTCCCCTTCCAGCGCCTTCCAGCCCGACGCGCTGAGCCAGCCGCGCCCGGGCCACGCCAACCTCAAACCCAACCAGGTGGGGCAGGTGATTCTCTACGGCATTCCCATCGTGTCGTTGGTGATCGACGGGCAGGAGCGCCTGTGCCTGGCGCAGATCTCCAATACTCTCCTCAAGAACTTCAGCTACAACGAGATCCACAACCGCCGCGTGGCGCTGGGCATCACGTGCGTGCAGTGCACGCCGGTGCAGCTGGAGATCCTGCGGCGCGCCGGGGCCATGCCCATCTCAAAACATGATTACCAAACGCGAGGCCGAGCGCCTGTGCAAGTCCTTCCTGGGCGAGAACAGGCCGCCCAAGCTGCCGGACAACTTCGCCTTCGACGTGTCTCACGAGTGCGCGTGGGGCTGCCGCGGCAGCTTCATTCCCGCTCGCTACAACAGCTCCCGCGCCAAGTGCATCAAATGCAGCTACTGCAACATGTACTTCTCCCCCAACAAGTTCATCTTCCACTCCCACCGCACGCCTGACGCCAAGTACACGCAGCCGGATGCCGCCAACTTCAACTCGTGGCGTCGCCATCTGAAGCTCACCGACAAGAGCCCCCAGGACGAGCTAGTCTTCGCCTGGGAGGACGTCAAGGCCATGTTCAACGGCGGCA